GCGGGGAGCTGCTGCACGGCCGGGTGCAGCTGGAGCTCCGCGGCACGCTGCGGCTCCGGGCCCTGGAGGTGTACGCTCGCGGGCGCGCCGTCACGCACTGGCTGGAGAGCCACAGCGTGGGGCTCAACATCGTCTACCGCGACTACACAGCCTACCAGACCTTCCTGTACCGCCGCCGCCAGCTCATCCCCGGTAAGGCTGGGGTGTGGGGGTGATTCTCTGCTCCAGGGCAGTGGGTTGGGACCCCCTTGGAGGTCTCCTGCAGGATCCCCTCTGGGAGGACCTCTGCGCTGGTGGGTGCTTGCCAACCGAAGCAGGGTTGTCCCTCTTGGACACCTTCTTCTCACCTTTGCCAAGGTTTTCTCGGCTGCTGGTTTCTAGGAGGCTGCCTGCAAACTCGGGGCTGGTGAGCACGAAAGAGTTGTGGCTTTTGTTCTGTTTGCACAGGGAAGTGCAAATATAAGTGTCCGTTCGCAAGTGTGGAAAGAGCACTTAGTAGTTGAGTCAATATTTATTTTCAGTTTCCTGATGCTGGGACTGCATGCCCAGCTGGCACCTTGCTTGCAAGAGGACAAGCCACTTGAATTCTTTGTGTGGTTAGGATTAAGTGATCCAGAGCCGAGGAATATGGAACATCTCAGCCCTCCATCCGTTCATGACATGTCTTTTCTTACGAAAGTGCGTGTCTTTTATCCTCCCCTCCAATGACCCCGTTACAGTCATGGCTCTGTGGCTTTTTCTCCCCCTTTCCCTGCTCCTGATGGCCTCGTTACTGCCTGTGGCACAGTGCCACGTGCTGCCCAGCCCTGGAGATGCCCGTATGACTTCACTCGTGCTGAAGGCGTTTAATTGTGTCAGTGGCCAAGCGCAACCCAGAGAGTCGTGCCAGCCCTCGCTGGCGAACATAGGGGTTGCAAGAGGAATAGAGAGGTGGAAGCTCAATCCCAGCAGGTCCTGAGCACTTGGTCGCTGCAGCGGTTGGACAGTGGCCACGATACTGTAAGGTCACAGGGCGAGTTTTATTCCCCATTATCCCTGCAGTGAATGTCTATAGGGAAGCCACGAGCTGCTGCGAGCGTGTTTGGATTTTGCTGCTGGGATTGTGTGCGATGGAAGCCCCTGGAGCCACGCAGAGAAGGGTGCTCGGGCAAGGGTGGGAGGAGCAGCACAAGCTGCTCGGCCTCAGCACCCTGCGCTCCAGCAGCTTGGAGCTGATGGGTTCTGGCCCTCACCTGCGGCACAGGGAGAGGTGAACTGGGCTCCCTGGGGAGCAGAGAGCCTCGCCAGAACTTGTGGGTTGGGGTTTTATTGTCTCTGTCCATACACGGGTTCCTTTTCTGCTTCATGAGAGGGACACGGGCGCGTGATCACGGGAGTGTTTTAAGGGAGCGAAGGCTGTGGGCTGCAGAGAAGGGCTGTTCTGCAGCCAAAATCATTTCCTTTGGATCCCGCCGGGTCCTGCTCCATCCCACTGTCCCCAACGGCAGCGTGAGGACCTTCCTGACGTCAG